CAAGTTGCTTCAGTTTTCTTATCAATAAAATGAAGATTATGGTAATAATTTTTTGTTGCCTAGCATGTGTCATTAAATGCATAATAAACATCAATTACTGGTTATACCTATTCTATCACATATCTGTATCCTCTTTTCTTTTTTTTTAAATTCTGGCACCTCCAAAGTGTTAGATGCTAGAGTGACTCATAGTAGCAACGAAGATAACATGGAAGGGAGAGTCTGAGAACATGTGTGATTAGTTTGGCGTACATTTGAAGTTAAAAAAGAACGACTAATACTTCAATAAAAAGTTTATTTGAAAAACTAATCACCAAGAATGCCCAAAACATACAAAGAACTCTTAAAACTCAACAATAAAAAAACTTAAAAAAAAAAGGAAAAGAAAAAGGAAGATGTAATGGTCCAATTGAAAAATGAACAGAAGGTCTGGACAGTTCACCAAGAAAGACATGAAGGAGGCAAATAAGCCTATGAAAAGATAGTTTAACATCATATGTCATTAGGGAGTTGCAGATTAAAACAACAATTAAATACCACTACATACCTGTTAGAATGACTGACATCCAAAACACCTGCAGCACCAAATGCTGGTGAGGATGTGGGGCACTAGGGAGCTCTCGAGTCATTGCTGGTGGGAACGCAGAGTGGTACAGCCATTTTGGAAGACAGTCAGGTGGTGTCTTACAAAGCTAAATAAACATTAGCTTACCGTATAATACAGCAGTCACACTCCTAGATGTTTACCTAAATGAATCGAAAATTTACATCCATGCAAAAGTCTGCACACACATTTCTTTAGATGCTTTATTCAGATTTGCCCAAATTGGAAGCAGCCAGTATGTCTATCCTTCCTTCAGTAGGTGAATGGATAAACAAATGATGGTAAACCTATGAAATGGAATATTATTCAGCACTAAAAAGAAATGCGTTATCAAGTCACAAAAGGACATGGAGGAACCTTAAATGTATTTTGCCAGGTGGAAAAAGCCAGTCTGAAAAAGTCTCCATGCTGTGTGAGTCCAACTATAAGCCATTTTGGAAAAAGCAAAACTATAGAGGAGGAGAAGGGTGGTTGCTAGGGGTTTAGGAGGATGGGATGAATAGGCAGAGCACAGGGCATTTTTAGGGCAGTGAAACTATTCTGTGACTACTATAATGCTTGTCATACATTTGTCAAAACCCATAGGTATGTACATGTACAGAGTGAACCCAGTTGTACAGGCTGTAATGTATCATGATTGGTTCATCATTTGTAACACATGTACCACAGTAATGCAAGATATAAATAGGGGAAACTGTGGAGGGAGAAGAGGATATACAGGAACTCTGTACTCACTGCACAGTTTTTCTGTAAACCTAAAAACGCCTAGAAAAAGTAGAATATTAGAAAAAAGTACAGGCTTAAGAGGGGAGTCCCATGGAAGCCTGCTTATAATCTGGACTGTGTGCCTTTTTGAAATATGGACATTCAAATATAAAATCATTATTTTTTTGTACTGAAGAGTCAATAACCGCCACCATTTAAAAAAAAAAAAAACAACGCTGAGCAAAACAGTGCTAGATTTTGTCAGAGAAAGTTAAAGGGTAATCTGAATATCAGTGGTGAGTGCCAGAGTCTCAGGAGGGAACCTAAGATGTTTAACTCAGAAATGCAAAGGAGCCATTTCTGACACATTGATGAAATGATAATAATTTTCCACAATAATAATTGATATGTGGTTATATCAGTTTTGGTCATCAGAATTTGGAGGCAGTGCCTTCTGTCTTAATGCAAGTCTGATGGCTATAGGTGCCTGCGCTACATGGACTCACCTTCACCCCTGGACTTCCTATTTACTTTCTGTCGCAACATACTTACTGTTCCAGGCATGAAGTTATTTCCTACTGGGTGTGTTTCTGTGAAATTGAAAAATAAATTTTGGGCCAAATAATAAATGTAGAAAACACTGCTGTGTACGGAAGCACTGGAGACTTCTTTGGAAGATTGAAGAATTCTTTGGTTAAATATGTAACCCTTCCCTCACTGTAGTTCATTCTGTGGTGGACTCATAGTTCAGCTTATCTAATTAAAGTTGAGTATACTTGTGTGGAGACTTAGCCTCGTTAAAAATTTGTGAGAGAAATCAGCTTTAAAATGTTCAGAATAATAATCTGGTTTATTAACATCTCTGTCTTCTGTCTGAATTTTGTATTAGAGCTTATATTTTAAAACTGCATTTTAGCAAAGGTTTTATTTTTGTGCTTTTTTCACAGCTTACAAGATTTGGGTTGCGTAAAAAAGATCTTGGCAAATATACTTCACTACAATTTTGAAGTTTCTTTTTCTTTTTTAAACATTTTTTATTTTTTAGTAATCTCTACACCCAATGTGGGGCTTGAACTCAAAACCCCGAGATCAAAAGTTGCATGCACCGCCGACTGAGCCAGCCAGGCACCTACAGTTTTGAAATTTCTATATTAATCAATTTTCGTTGTTAAACAATATTATTTATTGAACACTCACCTGAACTTCATATGTTCTGGATGATTTAAAATAATGTTATTTTAAACTGAGTGTTACTGGAGTGGTTGGGGGTGGGAGGGATGGGATGGCTGGGTGATAGACATTGGGGAGGGTATGTGCTATGGTGAGCGCTGTGAATTGTGCAAGACTGTTGAATCACAGATCTGTACTTCTGAAACAAATAACGCAACATATTTTAAGAAAAAAGGAAAAGAAGAAGATAACAGGAGAGGAAGAAAAGGGGAGTGTGTCGGAGGGGGAGACGAACCATGAGAGATGATGGACTCTGAAAAACTGAGGGTTCTAGAGGGTGGGGGCTGGGGGGATGGGTTGGCCTGGTGATGGGTATTGAGGAGGGCACGTTTTGCATGGTGCACTGGGTGTTATGAACAAACAATGAATCATGGAACACTGCATCAAAAACTAATGATGTAATATATGGTGATTAACATAACAATAAAAAAATTAAAAAAAAATAAAATAAAATAATGTTATTTTGTGTTTGCCTATCAAGGGCATAGTTTAGTGACAACTGATCCTAGACAAATATATAGCCAGAGAAAACCTTTGAAAATAAAGGATAAATATGTAGGCGTGGTACATATTTCTGTGGTTTGTAGGTAGTTAGAATTTAATTAATTCAGCTTATTTAACAAACTAATCAATTGGCCATCTATATAATGTGCTGATCATTAGGTTTGTAAAGGTAAGAAGACTTTGTCTTAATTAGTATCCTGATTTTTTTCCATTTCCAATTTGTTTACATAGGTAGAATCATTGAAGGCCAGAGTGTTTGTGATTTGTCCCAGATCACAGTAGTAGAGTTTCTAGTCTAGTATCAAGTTACTACCTCTGTATTTTACATAATCTTGTGATGAAACTTTTGGTGTAGCTTTCTTTAATATAATATCACATACTTAATTATTCAATTTGTGACTGGTTTTCCAGGTTGGTAACATAGGTTAGGAAACCAACAGTTAGTTGGTTTATTTATTTATTTATTTATTTATTTGTCAGAGAGAGAGCACAAGCAGGGGAAGCTGCAGGCAGAGGGAGAAGCAGGCTCCCCGCTGAGCAAGGAGCCTGATGTGGGACTTGATCCCAGGACCCCATGACCTGAGCCAAAGGCAGCTGCTTAACCAACTGAGCCACCCAGGTGTCCCTATTTATTTATTTATTTTTGAAAAGATATTATTTATTTGAGAGAGAGGGGGAGAGCACGAGCAGGGCGGGGGAGGGGAGAGGAGCAGAGGGAGAGGGAGAAACAGACCCTGCAGGGTGGGGAGCCCCAATGGGGGGGACGGGGCAGCTCCATCCCAGGACCCCGGGATCTTGATCTGGAGATCTTGATCTGAGCGGAAGGCTGAAGCTTAACTGACTGAGCCACCCAAGCACTCCAACAGTTTTATTTTTAAACTCACTTAAATATTTTTTTGGTAATTGTGGTAAAGATGTGCATATGTAAGAAAAATGGGATTATCATTCTGAAGGCTTCCCTGGATTAGTATTTTTACATCACACTTTGTTAAGATGTGCTCTGTATATATTTAGTTATACTTACTGGCAGCTATTGGGGAAGTTTTAAGATATTTTGGGATAAATGTTTAAGTCTTTGTACATTAGAAATTTTGTGTTAGGGCGCCTGGGTGGCTCGGTTAAGCGTCGGCCTTCACCTCAGGTCGTGATCCCAGGGTCCTGGCATCCAGTCCTGCATTGGGCTCCCTCCTCAGCAGGGAGCCTGCTTCTCCCCCTCCACGAAAATAAATAAAGTCTTTAAAAAATTTTTGTGTGTGTGTTAGAAAGTAGTGTTTGAATACAGAGTAAGTGTAAATTCAAAGATTTATGACAAGGTTATCTCACACATAAAGATTATTTTTAAGTTTGATATTTGTAAATCAGATACAGCCTGTATTTCTATAGTATGGAATACCTCTGACTTCATGTTTTAGAGCGTTTGGCTACATGTTAGTCTCTGTTAAAATACTGAATGGTTTGGGGCGCCTAGGTGGCTCAGTCGTTACGCATCTGCCTTCGGCTCTGATCATGATCCCGTGGGATCGAGCCCCACATCGGGCACCCTGCTCCACGGGAAGCCTGCTTCTCCTTCTCCCACTCCCCTTGCTTGTGTTCCCTCTCTTGCTGTGTCTTTCTGTCAAATAAATAAATAAAATCTTTAAAAAAAGTAAATAAAATACTGAATGGTTTAAAGGCTGTTTGCTCTTTATAAACACACATGAACTAGTCTGACCTTACCCAATTGACAAACTTTTTTTTTTTACTTTCTGAAAATTAATGATGTTTAATACCAGAAATACAGTTTTTTTTTTATTTTCTAAAAGATTTTATTTATTTATTTGACAGAAAGAGAGCACAAGCAGGGGGAGTGGCAGGGAGAGGGAGAAGCAGGCTCCCCACTGAGCAAGGAACCTGACCCTTGCTTAAGAAGAGAACTTATATAGGAAGAGTTAATTACCAGTTGGGTTTCATTTTATAGAGGGCTGCTGAACCAAGCCAGGCTATATGCCATTGCTGTTGAGAAAAAAAATTATCTTCAAGAGGAGCCTGCTTCTTCTCATAGAAGGAATGCCAGTCATTTTGACTGGGCTCTAACGAGACTGGATAATTCTGTCCGAAGAACTGGCCGCATCCCAAAGACTCTTCTACAAAAAGTCTTTGACACTACCTGTCACTCAGGTATTTGAAATTTTTCTGTATCAAAAGTTGAATGTCTTAATAAATATTTGTTTGGGGGCAAGCTCACTGTAGAACACATTATTTGATGTTTTTAGTTTTGTTATTTTTGTTGATCATCACGATTTTATGTTACGATTGTGATCTTTCCAACTCATCAGGGCAAAGTTTTGAGTAAAACATTTTCTTGTAGATGTTTATTTCAAAATCGGCAAATAAAAATGGGTCTTTTTGCTTTCCCCAGTTTATAAGAGAGTCACTTTCAGTGGTATATTGTCTTGGAAGTTATTGTTTTTCTTACTTTCCGTTGTATAGTGTCAGCTTTCTCTAAGATACTTACATATGATAGATTTCCAGAAAGACTGGTAATCGTTATTTCCCTTTCATTTTCACGTAGTTTTACAATCTATTTGAGTCACTTACTCTGATAATCCAGTAGAAGCTTATGGGCCCTCTTATCCACCCCCCCCCACAAGCCCACCTGCAAACATGCACATAATTTTGCATGTAGTTACAGAACATACACCAGCTTCCTAAAGTCCATCTGGATTTCATTCACATTAAGAAGCTGTGGGATCTAATGATGAGGGATATCAAAAGAAGTATTATAATTATGTGCATTTAAAGGCTATCGTATCATTTCCTCTTTCTGATTTATTCAGCTGTGTGACCATTACCATGGTTACATTTAGAACATTTTTATTACCTCAAAAAAAATCTCCAAACCCTTAGCCATTATCCCCCAACCCCTCATCCCTACCAGCCTTAGGCAACTGCTAGTGTACTTTCTGGCCTTGCAGATTTGCTTATTTTGGATACTTTATATAAATTTGAAATCATACAGTAAGTGGTTTATTTTTGGTTTTGTTTGGTTTGAAAGTCAGCTTTCAAAGACATGTAGATACATGGAAAAAGGGCGAAGGAAGTTACTGTTTTGTAATTGATTGTAAACCTAAATTTGGTATTCATGGGTTTTAGTTGTACTGCGTTGTACTATTTTCATAAGATATTAAGCTTAGCTTTTGAATTGCAGTAAGCACTGTTTATAAATTAAGTTCTGAGTATTTTTGTATGGTATAGAGTCTTGCAGATTACATAGATTCATAACCTTAGCTTCCTTAAGAAAACAAACTAATTTTAAAAACATAACTTTTAGTAACATAGTAAATGATACTTGTAGATTTGGGTAGGGTTTTTTCCAGCTTGTGGGTACTTTTAGTACTATCTTAGTGAGGGAGGAGATTTTTTAATATTTCCGGATTTTGGTTTACGTTTTGATACTTATCTGTATGATATTGCTACTGTGTTAAATGTTACCTGTTACTTTTTTCATAGGTAGCCCAGGTGGTAATCAAGCCTTGCTTCTCCTGCGCAGCTGTGGTTCTCTCTTGCCTGAACTGCAGGTCTCCGAGAGAACAGAATTTGCTCATAGGATATGGGACAAACTTCAGAAGTTGGGTATGATTGTTTAAAAATATGATGTGTATATGTAAAAGATGGAGATATTTTTTTCTTTTGGTAAATAATAATTTCTTTACATAAATGTTCTAATTCCATCTTATGGAAGAGCTACTTGGTAATATTTATTTGGTGAGTTATAGTGACATCTAGGGGCATTAAAGAAAAAAATAATTTACTAATGTAGCATTGTGTGTCAACTATACTCAAATGAAAAAAAGAAATAATTTTCGTAACAATTATTACTTTTTACGGTAAGTTAAAAAAGAACAAAATAAAAAGGCATTTGGTTTGTCAAAGTTAAGAATGCCCATACCATTTGACCAAGCAGTTCCATTTGTTAGAATATAAGATATACTCAAATGTACAAAAGGATATCCTTTATTGTAGCTTGTTTGTAACAGTAAGAAATTGGAACCAACTCCAATGTCTCTCACTAGGATTGGTTAAATAAATTATGGAGGGTTCATGAAATGGAATACTGTGCAACTGTTAAAAAAAAGTGAAGGCGTTCTTCTATACTAATGTGGCTGTTCTCCACAAAATTAAGGTGCAGAATGGTACATACAATATGCTACCATTTTGAAGAAAAATGTTTATATCTGTATATGCATACAATATTAAAATATTTCTGGAAGGATAATAAATACTACATACAATTTTTACTCTGTACCTTTTTATGCTTTTAGAATTTTGAACTGTGAACATAGTATCTCATCAGAAAATAACATAATTTAAAAGACCATTAGATAAGATTCAATGTTCAACCTGATTTTTTAAAAATCTTAACAAAGAGAGGCACCTGGGTGCCTCAGTCTGTTGAGTATCTGACTCTTGATCTCAGCTCAGGTCCTGATCCCAGGGTTGTGAGTTCAAGCCCCACACCGGGCTCTATGCTGTCCATGGAGCCTACTTAAAAAAAAAAGTCTTAACAAAGAACAGAAGGATGCTTCTTTAACATGTTAAAATTTAAAGCCAACAACTAATATGTGTAATGGCAATGAAATAAGATGAGAAGCAATACTAGAAATTACTGTTTTTTAGATGATGTGCTTATTTACCTGTAAAATCCCAGAAAATCAACTTACAATAAAGTAGTAGGAAATATTAAATGTTCAAGAATCTATAACCTTTCCTAGTTAGAAAGCAAAATGCATAAAGGACCTAAGTTTAGTCACAAATATGTAAAATGTCTAGGAATATCCTTCAAGAAACATGTCATGTTGCACCTCTATGGAAAAATCTATAAACAAAGCCTCACTTCAGTTTTGAATTCATCTAGAATTAATTTTGATGACAAGTTTATTTTTTAAAAATTTTTAAAAGAATGCATGAATATTCGACTTAAGAATGGGAAAGAGTTTTCTCAGTAAAAGAGCAGTGGAAAAGTTAAAGAATTGATTTCATAAAAAGAAATTTCTACATGTCAGTCATGTAATTTAAAAACATGTTGAATTGGGAGAAATATTTGCGAAATATATGTACTTTCCTTCGGCTTTAGAGCTGTAGCTAACCATTATTAGAGTTCAGTTTGAACTGATGATTTTTTAGAAGTTTTCAGACACTGTATGGTAACCATGTTGTGTAATCGCTTTGCAGATGCTGAATTGCACATGGTTCCCCTTACAGCCCTTTATAAGCTATTACAATGGTTAACAGATTGGGCACTCAGGGCAGACCATCTACATTCACATCTGTGGTCACTTGCAAAGCCATGTTGCCTTGGACAAGTGGAAGAGTCAGTTTTCCTCATCTATAAGATGGGGATAAGAGGAAGTATCTCAAAGCTGTTGGGAGGAGGAACTGGGACTCTAGACGCAGAGCACTTAGCACAGTTCCTGGAACATAGTAAGCACTCTACATGTCTACTAAGATAAATATGAATTTAATAGACTAGGTCTCTGCTGTCTAGAATCTCAAACTGACACCAGATCCTGACCACAGGCCTGTGGTGCTACAGGCAGTTAAGATATGAAATTTAATTCATGCAAATTTAGTAAAACATATTAGCACTAGATTGGTACGTGACCCTAATGTCATCAGTGGGTAGAGGAAGGCTGAATGGTAACCTTGATTGATGTGGCCTTAGGCAAGATGGACCCAGAAAGAAAACAAAGGGCTTTGGAATAGGGGTAAATTAACAGCAGACTAGTAATAGTGTTCAGCAACTGGAAATGGAGCCTTTGAAGAAACACTTTGAGTAAATGAGCAAAGTTGCTAGTACCACCCTAACTGTATAAAACAGCTAGTCACAGTCCATCTTAGTGTGTCTGTACTGTGGCAAGGACTGCCTTCTATCAAAAAATCTTTCAGTCACTTTAAATACAGAGGTATTGTCAACATTTTCCAACAAGAAGGGAATACTATGCTTTATAAGTAGGCGACCTCTTAACATCTGAATAAGCAGTTAACTTGTAACTGTACAGTAATTCAGTTAATTACGGTCTTAAATGCTTAGCTTGCTCTGTTCTGACAGGATTTCAATATAGATGGGTCTAAGTATGGGGTGAAATGCTGAAGTGATCATTTTATCCTTTTTGTTTGTTAAATTTAAGTACCCATATTTTAATTGTGATAAAGGATATGATTTTAGGTGCTTTTCTAAAAATTTGATTTAAATTTTATTTGTAGGTACTGTGTATGACGTAAGTCACTACAATGCTTTACTTAAAGTCTATCTTCAAAATGAACATAAATTTTCACCAACTGACTTCTTGGCAAAAATGGAGGAAGCAAACATTCAACCAAATCGAGTAGGTAGTTGCTGACGTAAATGTTCATTGGTTACATCATTGTTTTTTTAATCCCAGGAAAAAAATCGTATTTAAAAAATATTAACTGTCCATTTCATTGACAGGTGACATACCAGAGGTTGATTGCTGCTTATTGTAATGTGGGGGATATTGAAGGTGCCAGGTATGGAGCTCTATAAATGTATGTTTAAGCAAACACGTTGTAAGTCTCGTAAGCCTAGAATATTTTTTTTTCTTTTTTAAAGTTTCTTCTCAGTAAGGGACATTACTTCAGAAGTATTTTAATCTAGCAGATTTGGTAATATGACTTAGATAAAATGTAAAATTGTGTAAGAAGAGAAAGACAAGTGAATATTGCTATTTTAATTAAAAATTTGATTTATTGGAGCAGAGGTATAAAGTTGGGGCTTTAGTCTTTGTAAATTGATACTTCCTCAAGGAAATGTTCTTAGCCATTTAAATTGTATTCATTTATAAAACTGGCAATATTCTATCTTGCTGAGTCATATAAAATCAGTTGTGACATTTTCTTTTTTTGTGTAAAATTTATTGCTACTTTTGGATGGAGGTTTTAGGAAATAAAGGGATAAATTGAAATGTATAATTCATTTTTCATTAAATGGATTTTATTAAACTATGCTTTTTAAGGTTGATTAGTAGTATAGAAGAAATAATCAGGTTTTAAAAACTTAACCTGCTATTTTTACCAAGAGTAGTTCAAGATATATAATTTGATATAACAAATAGTTTCAGGGAGTGAGATTTTATGTATATATGTTGTAAAAAGTGGTTTTGATGTATATTTCCAAGAAGTATTTTCATTTCTCTTTTGTTGCAGCAAGATTCTTGGATTTATGAAAACCAAGGATCTGCCAGTCACGGAGGCAGTTTTCAGTGCCCTTGTTACGGGGCATGCAAGAGCTGGGTAATGTTCAACCTAAGGTTTTATTCTCAAGCAAGGTTGGAATTAGAGAAATTGTAGAAGATTCTTAACCCATGTTTATCTGTCCCCCTCAAAAATTCTGAGTGTGTGAGATAGAACATGCAACTTTTAAATAACTTAAATGTATCTGTTTCATACAACTTTGATTTGAAAATTCTGAACTTTAAAAATTGGGCCCGATCCAAAGTAACTGACTTTGTAAAAGTCTTTTAACTGCTCTCCTGATGCCCGTGGAAAACAATTTCAGTTTTGAAGATTAATTTCCTAAATGTTATTCTTCCCTAGAAAGGTAAATTTGAGTCAGAGCATACTTGATAGAAGAGGACATGTTAATTTAAGGTCTATGTGATTATTATGCAATTTGGGTGTTTTTTTTTGGAAAATTTACCTGTCATAATTTGAGATGTTTATTATTTTTGTTATTTCAGAGACCTATAACCATGTTAGTACATAGTTGCCCTTTTCTGATGTCCTTTGCTAATTGTTCTAAATGATTCATAAGAATTTTTAATTTTAATAAGAATAGGGTAATACATTTTAGGTTGAATGATAACATTATAGTGGGCATTGTTGTTGTAATCTATTCTCTTTTCTTTGAATAATTTCCAGAGATATAGAGAATGCAGAAAATATTCTCACAGTGATGAAAGATGCTGGAATTGAGCCTGGTCCAGACACATACTTAGCATTATTGAATGCGTATGCTGAAAAGGGTGACATTGACCGTGTTAAGCAGGTATGACTTATGTCATGTAAATAAAAATACTTTAAAATCATTTGTATAGGAAATAAAATCATTGGTGTAAGCTTATGTTCCATTTTGCATGTAGCAGAAAAGTGTAGTTTATATCTGTTTCAAAGGTATTTCTTGTAGGACCCTAGTATTGAAGGAGAATTTTTATAGTTTGGTACCTTGGTGTTGATATAACAGTTATTGCTGGAATATAATATTTTCTGTTTTATAAAAGAAGTCCTAAACCTTTAGATGGTGTATGTTCCTAATTTTTAAAATCCTGGTATTTTAATTTATTTGGCTTTAGTTAAAAAATACTGGTGTCTAACTTGTTCTTCTAATTTCTGGAACTGCCTACAGACTCTGGAGAAGGTGGAGAAGTCTGATCTTTACTTTATGGACCGTGATTTATTCCAAATTATTTTTAGTTTCAGTAAAGCTGGGTATTCTCAATATGTCCCAGAAATTTTGGAAAAAATTACATACGAAAGAAGATATATTCCAGGTAGTTTTTAAAAATTTATTTTCATGATTTTTCTAAAAATCTGAATTACTGTTCTCTAACAATAGGGGATTATGGTACATGAACATAGGACTCTTATAAAAGTCAGCTTAATAAACTAAACAGCTTGAGTTAACACATGGGAATGTTTTGATTTGGAAGTGTTTGACTATAGGCAGATAGATCCTTTTGGTATTTGCAGTTCATAAGTTTGTCTTTCATAGTGGTTGCAGTATAAAAATATTATTCAGTTTGGTAACAGAAAATGTCTTTGTTCTCTTCCCAGATGCAATGAACCTCATTTTACTTTTAGTCACCGAAAAATTGGAAGATACAGCATTCCAAATTTTATTAGCATGTCCTGTATCAAGGGAAGACAGTCTGAGTGACTTTGGCAGTTTCTTTTTGCGACACTGTGTGACTATGAATACGGTATTCTGTCTGTTTTTACTTTGTAGACAGTGTAATAGTAAAATAAGAGTCTGCAAAATGTAAGAACATATTATGAGATTAGACCAGTTATAAGCATTATGAAAACTTTGTTTCTGTGTGTAAGTTTATTGGGTAGAAAGAGGATGAGAGGTTCAAATTTTTCATCCCAGAAGTGGTAGAATGTTTGCAGAAGGTCAAATGGTAGGATCTTTGTGGATCCAGCTGATGTGGTGCCTTTTTTTCCTAGCCTGCAGAGAAGCTGAAAGACTACTGCAAGAAGTTAAAGGAGTCCCAGATGCACACATCTCCTTTGCAGTTCACACTTCAGAGCGCTTTACTAGCCAATAAAACCGGTACTATATTCTCATCATTAAAACTGACATAAATAAGTTTTGCTGAGGTAGCTGTGTAATATTTTATGGTATCTCTTTCAGATTTGGCAAAAGCTCTGATGAAGGCTCTGAAGGAAGAAGGTTTTCCTGTCAGAACTCATTATTTCTGGCCATTGCTAGCTGGACATCAGAAGAAGAAAGATGTTCAAGGTTAGGTTTTGCCCTTTACAGATTTGTAATGGTTCGGAGATCCAGAGTAAGTTTCTGTACACATCTAGTTGAATTCTTTGGGAAGGCAAACTTATTTCTGAGTAGTGGATCTTCTGAGAAAGTAGAATTGATTTAAATCATAGTTAAGAATCGGGTAAGCATTTTTAAAAACACAGTAGATTTCTTTCATCTTAATTTCATTTCTGACTGCATCTCTGATCTTGATATTCAAACTTGTGGGTGTAGTTTTAAGTAGTTCATTATTTTTAAGTTTTTAAGTTTTTCAAAAAACTCTTTAGTTCTTGATTTTGCATATACCATTTGAAATTAGTTTGTCTAGCCTTATTCCAGATGAAGTTATACATAATCAAGCCATTTTCTTTGTGGACCAGTCTCCTTAACTGAGCCGCGTTACAATAATAGGAAAGACAGCAAAACTTTTATTGTAAAATGAGTGCTCATGACCTGACAGCCTGCTGATTGAAGGACAGAAATGTTCAGTCTTTCAGGTTCTTAAGTACGTTTAAGCATTTAGCATACTTTTCCCTTGTACACATGGGATGCCTATAGGATATGAATAAGAATTGAACAAATATTAAATTTTAGAGTACAGTATCTAATTCTTTGGTTTGCATTATTGGTAATTCAGAAAGAGTAGTCTCAGAAAAAGATGCTTTTAACAGAAGTACTTCCCCCTTGGGGAAACAAAAAATGGTCTTTTTCATTTTATCTCGCAGTATAATGTGCTTTAGAATGAGATGCAGAGTTGTTAGTATGACATTGGGTGACAAACAAAATGCACAAACAACTAAAAAAAGTGCTTTTAGCAGACTTTCATATTGCAATTTTATTTTAAATATATAGTCTTCTGGTCTAAAGGAAATAGTGAAACAAGTATTCCCTAATTGTTTCTGGCTATAAAAGTCTCAAAATCCTTTTTAGAAAAATCTTTGTGAAAACAGTATGCTAGTTGATTAACTCTTTGCATATCCTCCAGTTCTGAAAGCTCCAAGAAGTAACCTTTAACCCAGTATTTTTGAATGAGAGAAAGTTTACATCATTCCATGAAAATCTTTGGGCATATTAGTATTGTCCATCTTTACACAGATAAAATACTTTTGAAAATACCCACTGTTGAAGTATTTGTCTGTTCATCAGGAAAATTTGCTTTCTTCAACCTTACTACTGTATCTAGACTTGAACTGGTTACCACATTTTTAGCAACTTAGTAAACGTAAAAGAATTCAGGTAATTTCTTTCGATAGTTGTAGCTGAAACTAGTAGAAAAGTGGGCTTTATCTTGAATTCATCCTTTCTTGGGATCTTATAGTTTAGATTTCAGAGGTGCCTGTTGAAAGCTCACTTTATATTAATGAAACAAATGAGAGCGGCAGAGAGATTTGGTGACCAGCCTTAGGTTCCACACCTGCCTGTCAGTTGTGCTGGGATTAGAACTGAGGATTTCTGTTCTTTTAAACACTCTTTTTAAATACCATAGCACTTCCACATAAACATTTTTAAGTGTTACGATATATTTTATAAAAAGTCTTAACTATTAAAGTTTGATGCCAGTTTTTGCATTAAGGACATTTTAAAAAGTGCTATCAAGTTTTTTAAGCTTTTATCTGGAAAAATTAAAACCTGAGAAAGGTAACTCGAGAGTACAAGATAGTGTTAGTTGTGTTGCAGTTTTTTAAAAAACTGAGTTTCTCCTTTGCAAGAGGCCCAGAAATATAGTAAAGTGTATATTCTACAATTTTCCTTCATGTAACAACAAAATGGCTCTACATATTCTGTGTGGTTTCTTTAGGGTAAGGTAAGAAGGTCACATTTTTATTAGTGCAGTGAACTTGTTCTTCATCCAGAAAAAGTCCTATATAAACTGGTAGAAAGAACAAAAGAAAATAATGGCTGTAGTGATGGAGCGTGTAGAGGAGTGTTTCTCGTAAGAACTAGATAAAACCCTTCAGGAAATCAGAGACAGGTATTTAGAGGTCAGATCAAACTGAACCAGGAGTTTTCAACAACACTGTAATCATATCATACTGAGTTTTAGAATTGTTCTGGCTGCCAGTTCACCCATCACCAACCCCTAAGAAAGATTCTCGGAGCGACTTGGGGCGCCTGGGTGGCTCAGATGGTTGGGTGTCTGCCTTCGGCTCAGGTCATGATCCCAGAGTCCTGGGATCGAGCCCCACATCGGGCTCCCTGTTTCTGGGGAGCCTGCTTCTCCCTCTGCCTCTCTCTCTGTCTCTCATGAATAAATAAATAAAATCTTTAAGAAAAAAAAAAAAAAAAAGAAAGATTCTCGGAGCGACTTCCGCCTGGCTTATCTTACTGGTATTTTTCTCTGTGGCACAAATGGAAAAGTCACCACTTAGAATTTTAGCAGATAGGCCTGAATGAGAGGAAATAACCCAGAATGATTGAGAATCTACATCCCTGGGTATATGTGGAAAACACAAAAATCAGAGTATGAAAGGGGTAAAATATAGAAGGAAGGACCAATATGAAAGCTTAAATACCAGTTGAGTAAAGGGGTTGAATAGAGAATACTTTTCAAAAACTAAGAAATGGCTTCTAATAGAGTGAGTGCCCTGGGTAGAGTCTAAAATCATGTGGAGTAAACAGTTATAGTTGGTAAAAATTGTTCAGGCAAACCATTTATCTTTCCCAAAAGTTTGAATTATTTCAATTCTTATAAAACTTTTTAAATGGAGACTTTCCTCTAGATTCATAAACTTTGTCATGACTGTATCTGAAATATTTTTATTAGATTGCTTAGTTTAGGTTTTCTAAATTCACAGAGGTTTGGGATCCATGTTTATATCTAAGTTAATATGTGATTATTTTAGTCTTTTTTATTTTAAAAAGAAACATGAATTATATTTTTTAGGAGGAGGTAAGTAGGTATGTGAGATCAATCACATTTTTTCTCCTTACTGATAAATGTTTCTGTCCTCCCATCATTCAGTCAATTATTGAAGTAAATATTTTTGTATTCTCCCTCAGAATGCCTGAGGGAGTGACTGAACTTACTGGATCAGAAGGTGTGGACCCAGGTTTTCCCAAACCAGCTTTAGCTTCGGTTAGAAAAATACATAAGTTAAAAATGCTGGCAACACAGGTCATCTAAACAAGCAGAATGAACACCTCCCCTTAATACACATTATTGGAGAAATAATGAATTAAGAGAATAACATGTATTTGAAGCATAAATATTGGGGTGGAGTGTTTTGTACAGAAATAAGACTCTTCTATTTATAATCAATTTGTTGGCCTATTTTCAGACATTAGAAAATCAGCTATATAGTTACCTGATTTTATGTTACATATATTCTCTATCATCTAAGGAAATTTAAAAAAATTATTAGGGTATTTTAAGACAGCTAAGATATTAAATCATTATTGTCACTGTTAACATTTATTTAGTATTTTTAGGGTTTCACACATTTTTTCCTTTAAATGACGACTCTGAGAGCTAAGTAGAGAGATTTATTGCCATCATTCTTTATATAATGGACAAAAAGCTGCTAAAAATCAGTTTTTGGTGGCAGAATAAGGACTTGATCCCTGGAAAAAGCATAGGTTTTTGCATATTTGTGGTGTTATAAGCACCTGCCAGCAACTATGAGACTTGGTTTCTTATTCAAGATATGCCTTTGATCTTGGAGCACTCACTTTAACACTTTTTTTTTAAGATTTTTTTATTTATTCATTTGACAGAGAGAGGGAGAGAGAGAGCACAAGCAGGGGGAGCAGCAGAGGGAAAGGGAGAAGCAGGCTCCTCGCTGAGCAGGGAGCCAGATCCTAGAGCCCTGGGATCATGACCTGAGCTGAAGGCAGACGCTTAACGACTGAGCCACCCAGGCATTCCTTACTTTAACACTTTTGTTAAAATAAAGATTATTTGACTCCTAAGACCTTCCTGGCTTTATTTATTACAAAGAGAAGTATATCACCCCAGTAGACTGAGTTGAAAGCCTTGTTAATATTGTTGACCCCTGAGCAACACAGGTTTGAACTGTGCAGGTCCCCTTATACACAGATTTTTTTTTTTTTTTTATAAATACAGTACTGTAAACGTATTTTCTCTTATGATTTTCATAATATTTTTTTCTCTAGCTTATTTTAAGACATAGGACATACAAAATATGTGTTAATCGACTGTTATTGGTAAGGCTTCTGGTTAACAGTAGGCTATTAGTTAAGTTTTTAGGGAGTCAGAAGTGATACGCAGATTTTTGATTGCGCCAGAGCTGGCGCCCCTAACCTCTGCTTGTTCAAGAGTCAGCTGTTGATACTGATCAGAACTAAGGTGGTACTAGTATTCTTTTTGTTCAGTATGTTCTGTTTTTCCTCTTGTCCTCAACCTTCCTCTAGGCCTAGATCACAAGAATTTCTTCCATGCCTGTGGGTAATATTTATAGTTCTTGGTACTTTGTTTCTATCCATTCACTAGGCCTAGACTCTTACAGGTCAGAAAAGTGTTCCATTCATTGAGTGCCTTGACACATACTGACTTGCTTAATCTAACATGGATGGCAGTTAGGGAGGATTAAGCCAAGTGTTACTTGATAAAGTGTCTAGAAGGCACAGTTCCTGCCATATTGCTGTTTCAAATGTGTAAGCTCAGAAATTATGGCTCAGAAAGGTGAAGTTACTTTTTCAGATTTACACTGCCATTAAGTGCCAGAACAGGGTTGAAAGCTAGGTCTCATTAAACTTTGAGCTTTTTTTTTTTTTTTTTTTTGTCATTTCACCAGAGAGTCTTCCAGAAACATAGCTATTTACTTTAAACCATGGTCATGAAAGCAGTCGTTATGATGAGGAAGGACATTGAGGACATTAGATTAACACAACTCTATTGCTAGTCATTGAAAAGCAACTAGCCATATGCCCTCCTCTCAAATACTTAGTAATCTTTGCGTATAAAGAAGAGCACAGTGTGATTTGCCATTTTTTATGATAGTTACCCATGTTATTACTAGTAATTCCTAGTGAATTGTTAGAAGAATACTTCTACTGAATTTGGCTTTCAAGTATTGTGATGCTTGTGTGCTCTGTGGACTAACTCTATATGCATGTTCTCCCTAAATTTGTCACTAAGCATGTGCTCTGTCTTTTAAGATTTTTTTTTTCCGTATTAGTATCTTTAAAAATACATTTAAACATCTAAGGTTTTGAAGATCCATTAGGTGATTTTAAATATAATAAACTGTTTAACCTGAATAATAATTTGAATTTTCTCTTAAAGAAATGTGCAGATATTCATAATGTAGTCACACTTGCCTGTGTATTTCTGTACTTAGTGGGAATTTACAATCAAGTATTTGTACTAGAGCTCATTACGTAACAAATTTATAGAAATGTAATTTTTCTGTGGAGGATATGATAGGGTAAAAACAGGGACTTCTAGACGGAGTATTTTGTTTTGTTTTGTTTTTGTTTTTAAGATTTTATTTGAGTCGCCACTCATCCCTTCCCTCTGCAGTGTTTATTGGGTCCAGTTTTCTTTTTTTTTTTTTTAAGATTTTATTTATTTATTTGACAGAGACACAGCAAGAGAGGGAACACATGCAGGGGGAGTGGGAGAGGGAGAAGCAGGCTTCCTGCCGAGCAGGGAACCTGATGTGGGGCTCAATCCCAGAACCCTGGGATTATGACCTGAGCCGAAGGCACACGCTCAATGCCTGAGCCACCCAGGCACCCCTGGGTCCAGTTTTCTTGTGTTGATCTGTCACTGCTCTGTAATAGCAGTGATGTTTTATGATCTCTGTTCATTTGGGTGCCAGAAGCATTAGGCATTTTGCTTAATTATTTTAGACTTTCTTAGAGTTGTCATTTCTAAAATATTTCCTTAACACTTGCTACTGAATTAATAGATGAAGAAAGGAGGGATTTTTTTTCATTTATCATCTTATTTCCCATTTCTGTTGCTTTTTTGCTTTCTCTTTTTAGACAAACAAAATGAGTAGTTTTTCGTACATTATGATTGAGAAAGTAAATGAACTGAACTTTCTGATCTTTTGTAATGTATTCCAAGTACTTCATATGTGTGCTTCTAAATTTAATCTTACAGGTATCGTCGAAGTTCTCAAAGCAATGCATGAAATGGGAGTAAGTCCTGATCAGGAGACATATGTAAATTACGTGTTTCCATCCTTTGATAGTGCGAGGTCAGTTCGTGCTGTTTTGCAGGTGAGTACAAGCAGGTGTGGTTTTAATTTCATAATTAAAGAGATTTCTTTCCTCCCTAATTGTTTAGTGGTAACCAAAAAAAAAAAAAGTTGTTAAGCTGAGTACTAAAAATGGTCATTGTCTGTATACAATTTTCTAAAGCTTTGTAAAAATACTGGTTAGTGTAAAGTCTATAGTGGTTAAACTTAAAAAGGTAAAGCAGCACTTTTCTTGTGTGTTGAAAGACAATAGGCCAATATCAGGAAAAATGTAAATAAAACAATGGATGTTCCTTAGTCCCACTTTACAGTGCAACTGCGGTTTTCAATTTTTGATCTTTACTTTTCACTTGTATATGAATTTTCATAATACACTTTTAGTATACTTACTACTATTTTTTTTTTTAAATAATCTTTTGTTTGACTCCAAGGCATTATTTTCCTACCCAGCATTTCCTGTTCCCATTAGAATAGGCAAGGCATTTATGGAAGGGGCACAGGAAGAAATTGACTTGGAGAATGCATTGGACCAGTTGCACTTTCCACTTTCAGAACAAAGTGCTATACAATTAGGAACAACATGGCAGAGCACCAAACACTTTTAATAAGAAATACTTTGTTCAGAAGATCTGTTTCCTAGGTGGTTATTCACATAATGCCTAGATTTTTCTAGTATTTTTAGAGTGTTCTTTTCTTTCATTGAAATAATTACATAATTAAATCCTCCTAAAGGCAGAGTTTATGTCTTGAGTGTCTTTATTTCTCTTCCCTGAGTACTTAAGAGTATTTTGAGCCTGTGCTATACATATTTTACTGTTAAAAATTATTTTAAAAAGTAATTTTTCCCACATATTCTTACTTCCCCAAAACCTACTTTTTTCACTTGGCACATTCTATTACAGTATGTAATTCCACCTATTACTTTTTATGGTTGCATGCTGTTTTATTGTATGGATATACCATAATTTATTTTTAGTTATTGCTTATTATTGATTGGGTGGTTTTAAATATTGTGCTATTATACAGTGCTTCAGTAAATGTGTTGGAACTGAATTTTGGCTCACTTAAGTTATTAAACAAGTGATGATGTTGGGACACGTGATTAAACCTTTGGAGTTAAATGAAATTAAATTTGATCTTTACCTCATTGTATGTCCCAAAGTATCATTTTATTTTATTTTTATTTTATTTATTTATTGGACAGAGAGAGACAGTGAGAGAGGGAACACAAGCAGGGAGGAGCTGGAGAGGGGGAAGCAGGCTTCCCGCTGAGCAGGGAGCCAGATGTGGGATCATGACCTGAGCGGAAGGCCGATGCTTAACGGCTGAGACACCCAGGGGCCCCGCAAAGTATCATTTTAGATCAGTGCATTGAATTTTTGTTTTGTTGTTAATGAGAGATTTGTTCTAGTGCCTTCAATAGTAAACTTCCTAGAAGATAGGCGTTCTAAGGGTAACAGATTATCTGAATTTGAAGATAAACATTTAATTTGGAATGATGGAACTCCATCTCATAGCTTTTGCGAAAGTTTAGCTATTCAGTTTACATATTGTTCTAGAAAATGAGTTTTTTTTTTTTTAAGAATGGTGATATAAAGAAATGGGAAAATGGGAAATCTGAATGGCATATCACAATTATTTTAGCTGAGGTATATTATCATTGAAATATGCTTTATCCCTAGGAAAATGGATGTCTACCTGAAAGTAATGTATTTTCACAAGCTGAATTGAGAAGTGAAGCAGTTAATGGGAACTTAGCCTATATTTTATCATTTTGTAAGTATGAAACAGTAGTAGTAAACTTGACAGGTATTGATTTCAGTTACTACTGAGGGCATACAGGGTAGTTTATGCCCTCGATACCTACCTCAGGGAAGGTCAAGGTAACTTTACGTGTTTTTTATATGTTTTGCTTAATTCAGACTGAAAAGACTGTTTATGAGTTGAACTTGTGGATAATTTGGAAGTAATTTTAAACTTAAAAGGACCATGGTGGTAGATTAGGACCCAGAAGACTTGAGTTCTGTTTATAATTAAGCTGCTGATTATGGGACCTGGAACAGGTGTTTTTGTTTCAATTTCATGAAATGGGGATAGTTACTTACCTACCTTGTGGGAGTCATTGTAAAAAAAAAAATCACTGGAGATAGTGTTTCTCAAAGTGTTTTCTAAACTAATGCCTATTATAGCCATTGTTACATGAAGCCCATCTCCTAGTCCTCATGAACCAAAACATAGCAGATATTTACTAAACATTTATAAATGCTATGATGCTTTATAGGACTCATCACATGTCAATAAAATTACCTACATTGATAAATGAAGAAAAGTAGAGAGAGGTTTATTGATTTGGTCAAAGTTAGTGATTGAGCCAGAACCAAGATCTTTTAATTTTAACCTTATTGTTTCACCCTACTACAATTTACTAAATAAGACATTTCTTAAAGTCTTCATTTTTGAACATACCTATGACATTACTTGACTGTTTTTATAATCTCGTGAAAAAGATGCCATTTAAAAACAAAACACACAAACATCAGTTTCTAGACCCCTAAAATGTTAGAAGTTAAGCTCGGATTAATGTGCACTCAAATTGTGTAGGTGGAAGCATTGTAAAAACCCTATTATTGGTAGTTAAAATGGTTCATCTTAATATTGTAAGGGAAAGGCGAAGTGTTCAGGATAAAAAATGATGACTGTTAGAGGTTGTAGTTACTTGAGTTAAAGGTTGGGTAGTAATACCAGCTGCTCTCTGAGGGTATTGATTTTGCCTTCCACTCAGAGTAACATACAGATTTGCCTTACTGACAGGATGAAAACAGAGGAGCATTAGCAGCGGAATCAGGGTACCCAAGGTGCATACGTGAGAGCTGCTTTTTCCTTATGATACCATCCATCCCACTTCGTTGTCAAACCTCGATTTTTCAGACTTGTTTGTTGCTAAGGAAACTAGATGCTTTTGTCAGCAGCCTTCATCTTGCTGAGATGTTTCTGGTCACCTTTTTAATGAATAAAAACTTGACAGTATTCTGTAAAATACTAATTTGAATAGTATAAAAATAACTTTTTAAGAGGTTGTTTATTAAATTTGAGAAAGAAAAATTCCAGGAACTTTAAGAATAAAGAGTACTTCAGGCCACTCCTGTCCGTGCCCTCCCTTCCTGCTTTGATTTACAGGTCTTTGAAGAGCAGTTAGTTCTATAATTGCTGGTATTCACTGTAGGCAGCTCCTAGGTAGGCACTCTTGGTTACTGCATCACAAGGAATGGCAGGTGGTAGAAAAGAGTTCTGGCTTATCTTGATCCAGTTTGTGCAGTAGTAGGAAACATTTTGCCACTTCTGTTTGTAGGCATGGAAAATTAATTTGATTAAGCAGTTTAAAGGTTGCTGAAAGACATGTAGTTATTGTCTACTTTAAAATTCCATGAGTGACTGAATGCTGATTGTTTAAAAAATGGTTTTTAGATTTGCAAGTGCTGCATAAAACCCTGAGAAACTTACATCTCTGTTCAAGAATATAACACTTGATCTAAAACAATTCTTGTGTGTGGGAGTTAAGTTTTTATTCATATTTAGGAGAGATGAGCAAATACTCCTAAAATCTTCTGTGACTTTTCCCATGAGCTGTTTGTTGTTGTTAAGTTACCCAGGTGTCTTGATCTTTTCTAAACTGTATTAATTCTGTTTTCAGAATTTTACGTGTACTATGAGCTCCTCTCTAATTCTGTCCATGTTGGATCGTTTAGTAACATGACATGTGAAAAGATTAAATCAGTTACTTACAACATGGCACCATTTTAATACAATGACAGGGAAAAATAAATTCAGGAGATGCCTACTTTGGTTTTCACCCTTGCTAGTTACGGTAAAGGTTACGTGGAGAATCAGGCCTATGTGTTAAGGCAAATCAGGTTTACAGTGTCAGCATTGAAACATACAGTGTTGTAGATTGTTAAATGACAGAATGAATAGTAGAGCAAACAAATACTTAGAAAAGTGAAAGATGACCATAAATCAATTACACAACAGAGGTAAAGACTTACTGTGACTTTAGGTTGTCACTCTTAACATGAATGAAGTCATTGATCATAGTGGAAAATGGAATGACAGAGTGAAAGGTTCAGCAGAATCCACTGCTACTTTGAGAAAAGAATTTTTCTCCTTTAAAGGACAGAAGTCCTATAGTTACAGTTCTTTTTCTTCGTAGTGCCACATTGTCTAGTAACATACGGTTTTGGTATGTGTACCAGGCCGACTCTCAGTGTGCTGGGGGGTGATTAGTTATTACCCTTTATACCAAAGAATATTTATAAATTCATTAGTTGTATATATTCATGAAAATGAAGTAAAAATGTTTTAAAAGGATAGCTTATATTGCAGATATATATTACTGCATTATTTAATTAATTTTGTATGAGAACATTTCCATTTTAAAAATAAAGTTTCCAAAATGAAAATTAAAAGGTACGTGTTTCCAAAGAAGTTACTAAGTTTTTTGGGTTTGGTCTGGGTTTTAATGATGATCACTTTCTTTTGCAGTGGAATCAAATACACAGCCTTTGTCATTCGCTTCTTTGAGAGGCAGTCTAAGTCTAGGCTTTAGGAGGTAAGATGATTACCTTATAATGTTCTTTGCCTGATGTTTCCTGTTTTTGTGACCTGCTATATAAGGAAAGCTATAGATATTCTTATCTTCCAAATCTTCCAATATGCCAGTTTCCTAAAATAACTTTATCTGAGTTACTCGTCCTACCAAGTAGTTGACTTGAGTGTAGGCAATCTTTTATATCATCTTCTCCAAGAAATACACACAAATTTGGTAAAAGTTGTGTTTCAGAGAAGAAAGCACTGTTTGAAAATGGTTGGTTGGAGTTACAAAGTTGTACACGTGTTAGGTGTTTTGAGTATTTAATTTCAAGGTGACTTTAGTCAGTGTAATACTGCTGTCTTCCTCTGTGTGCTCAAGGGATGTTAGTGACCTTTTTCCTTCTCAATTTTGTTACCTTTTTTTTAAGATTGATTATTTATTTATTTATTTATTTGCAATAGAGGAAGAGAGAGAGCTCGTGCCCATGCATGAGTGGGGGACGAGGGGAGGGGCAGAGGAAGAGGGAGAAATATGCTCTCCACTGAGCAGGGAGCCCAATGCAGGGCTCAATCCCAGGACCCTGGGATTATGACCTGAGCTGAAGGCAGATGCTTAACCGACTGCGCCACGCAGGCGCCCCTCAGTTTTGTTGTTTTGAAGATATTCAAACATAATGACTTGAAAGAATTGTAAAGGAAACACCGTACATACCTTTATGTAGATTCACCATTTTTGATATTTTGCCATATTTGCTTTCTCACTTTTTCTCTAATATATACACACACAAGCACATACGTATATACACTTTTTTCTTTTTTGCTGAACCACTTGAAGTTGTTGACATCATGGTACTGGATCCTTCAGCTTCTCTCTCGTAAGAATAAGGTCATCATCTATATAATCACAATACCAGTATCACTCCTAAAATATTAGTAATATTGTAGTATCACCTAATATACATAATGTTTAGATTGTCTTCTAAAAATCTCTTTTATAGCTGTTTTACCTTTTGATTGAGGATTCAATAAGTACTCATGTTGCATGTGATTGCTGTCTCTTTATTAATCCAGAACCATTCCCCTACCTTTTTTTTATCTTTATGACATGAAGTTGTTTGAAGAGTCCAGGCTGCTTTCTCTGTAGATTTGTATTCATCTATTTTTTTTTCTCATAACAGATTCAGGTTGAATATTTTTAGCAAGAATACTTGATAGGTGATGGCATTTCCTACTGCAGCAAGAGATATAATGGTGGTACCATCAGCAAAATTTGATCATTTGGTTATGCTGGTGGCCAACATGTCTCTTAGAAAGAGATTTCCCTTTGGGATTAGTAAAAAGTCTGTGGGATGATACTTTGCAACAGTGGGTCTGTCCTGTTCAGTGGTTTTAGCAGCCATTGGTAATCTTGTTGAATTGGGTGTTTACAGTGGTAGCTACAAAAAGACGTTTCTACTTTTATCATTCTTTTTGTAATAATGTTAATGACTTCTGATACTAAAAATCTCAGTAGTTTTTAGCCTGTTCATTGGTGGGAGCACTAGGGTCTTCTGTAGACATCTCCAGAACCTCCATGGCAGGCAAGGAGGGGTAGAATAGGTCGGCGGGATTCTGTGTTACTGCCCTTTCTTTAGCCAGTTCAGTTCCACTCTTTTCAGAGATAGTTTTGGTTAGGTTAAAAAACAAACAGACCAAGGACTGTGCCTTTAAAAAGAAAGTTTGAAAACACAGAATACATAATCAGGTGGATAAAAATGCTAGTAGAGCCAGATTTTTAAGAAAGAACCCATAAAAATAATTAAGAATCTATAATATATTATGAAGTGAAGCATAGTAACATTGTCATTTGATTGTCCTTGAAAAATGTCTTAGAAAGGTTTTTCGTATAACCTTCCAGGTCATGTGTATTTCCTTCTTTAACTTGACTAACCTTATGTTATACTTTTTTAGTTCATTTGAATGCCAGTTGTCATATTTCAGATGTCCTAGACTTTTTTTAAATTAATATATAATGTATTATTTGTTTCAGGGGTAGAGGTTTGTGATTCATCAGTCTTCTATAATACCCAATGCTCATTACAACACATACCCTCCCCAGTGTCCGTCACCCAGTTACCCATCCCTCCACCCGCCCTCCAGCAACCCTCAGTTTGTTTCCTATGATTAAGAGTCTTATGGTTTGTCTCCTAGACTTCTTAAACAAGGTACTTAGACTATAAAGTTGATTCAGTGTGATGGGAAAAAAACAAGTTGTACATTCCGATATATACCTAGATCAGTCGTTGAGCTTGTAGTGCCTTAATTATGCAGAGCTGCTTGCCCCTCCAGTAAATGCATCCGCTTGCTGCGTTGTCTGATTCTGCTTTTTAATTTTGTGTCATCATCTTTGCTTGTAAGAATTTTTGCTCTCACTCTTGACAACTTTCAGTATATTTGCTGTAAGTAACCTACACACACTTAAATAATTCGCTGTTTTTGATTTATTGTGTGCTAGGAAATTAGGCAACCTAGGTTGTGGTAATTTGGGAAAATAAATGGTTTAAATAAAGGCATGTGTATCTTTTTGTTATTATTTTGTAACAGATTTTGTGGCAGCTGTTTGGATGATTAGAACATAAGCTCTCTTTGTTTGGTTCATTGCACTATCTTCAGTGCTAGATTAATACCTGGCACATGATTGGTACTACTGTTGAATTAATTACAGAGGCCTTATTTTCTGCCTCTGTGTTTAGGCATTCCCTTTAATTCAGCAAGTATTTATTGTGGAGTTTGGAGATGCTGGTTGGGATCAGACTGAAATATGGTAAACAACATAAAGGGACTTGGCCTTTATTTTAAAGAAAGTAGACTAATTTGTGCAGTGTGGAGGCTTGGTGGAGGCAGGAGTATATTTAGAATGTATTTTAATCTCAGATATGCTATTTCTCATTTCTGGAAATTCAGTTTGGATTTTTTAAAATATATCTTCAATATCTCCTTAACATGCTTAGCTTTTTTCTTCCTTCTTGACTAAATGAGATATTATTGAAAAATGTTTTGATGTCTTTGTCTATTAATTCTGTCATTTGTGTCATTTCTGGGTCTGTTGGTTAATTTTTTTCCCTCATTGTACATCGTGTATTTTTGCTTCTTGGTAATTTCTGATTGGATGCCAGATGTGGAATTTATTCTACTGAAGGTGGATATTTTTTTATTCCTTTAAATATTTTTTTATATTTTATTTTTTTAAAGATTTTATTTATTTGACAGAGAGATGCATAGTGAGAGGGGAATGCAAGCAGGGGGAGTGGGAGAGGGAGAAGCAGGCTTCCCGCCAAGCAGGGAGCCCGATGTGGGGCCAGATCCCAGAACCCCGGGATCATGACTCAAGCCAAAGGCAGACGCTTAACGACTGAGCCACCCAGGCGCCCCTATTCCTTTAAATATTTTTGAGCTTTGTTCTGATGTCATGAGTGAAGTTTCTTGGAACAGTTTTCTTAGTGCTTGCTTTTTTGCTGTATTAGGCAGGATTAGAGCAGCCTTAAGTTTAGGATTATTCCCACTAAATTAATTCAGCCCCACTATTAAGGCAGTATCCTTCTGAGTATTTTGCCTGCTAGCCCCTCCCCCCCTTTTTAATATATTTTTTTTATTTTTAAGTAATCTCTACACCCATGGTGGGGCTTGAACCCACAACCCTTGAGATCAAGTCACATGCTTCACCGACTGAGCCAGCCAGGCATGCCTACCCCATATCTTTTTGAGATCATTGGGAATGTGAGCTATTCCCATACCTGTGTGGGTTTTGTCTTTTTCAGTCTTTGGAAAGGTCTAAGGTAGTTCTCTAGGCTTCCCTCACTCACATGTGATTGTAAGTACTCAGCTGAAGGCTGAGCTGTAGGTCTCCAGAGCTCTCTGTCAGGGTCTCTCCTTTCTGGTATTCTGCTCTTTGACAAGTTGTAACTAATCCCTTCTGTGAAAATATTTTAAATCTGTAGGTTCTGAAACTATATTATGTTGGTGAGTTTTTCTTATTATAGATATAGAAAAGTTTCAGGCTGTGGTAATTTGATGTTATTCATAAGAATATGTGCATATTTTGAAGCATTTGTGACTAGAGGTGATTTCTTTTTCTCTCCCACCCCATAAACTATTAAAAACTCAGGACATAATCAGTGTTGTTGCAAGCCAGTATCTTAGCACTATAACGTAGCCTTCTGTTCTTTTATTTGATGCCGAATCAAATAGTATGTATATTTTAAAATCCTAGGGCGCCTGGGTGGCTCAGTCATTAAGTGACTGCCTTTGGCTCAGGTCATGATCCTGGAGTCCCAGGATCGAGTCCCACATCGGGCTCCCTGCTCAGCGGGGAGTCTGCTTCTCCCTCTGACCCTCTTCCCCTCTCATGCTCTCTCTATCTCTCTCTCATTCTCTCTCTCAGATAAAGAAATAAAATCTTAAAAAAATAAAATAAAATCCTTTTGCAAGGGGGCACCTGGGTGGCACAATCAGTTAATAGTCCAACTTTTGGTTTCAGCTCGGGTTGGGATCTTAGGGTCGTGAGAACAAGCCCCGTGTTGGGCTCTGCGCACAGTGTAGTCTGCTTGAGTTTCTCTCTCTCCTCTGCACTCCCATTCTCTCTATCAAATAAATCTTTTTAAAAAATGCCTTTGCAGGACATTTAATACAACTACTCAGTCACCTGTTGTGTGGTTTTCCAGAGTCCCGTTGTACTCTAGCAACTTTAGAATTGGCTGAATGAGTACAAGAAAACTGAGCACTAATTGGCATTCCCAGTAGAGTCCAAATTAACTGTCTGCAAGTCCTGTAAGGATTAACACATAAGAGATTCACTTAGTTACTCCTTACCTAAAGTAATTATTCGGAATCATCCATAATGTAAGAAGTGATCGAGCATTGAATGAGGTATCATAGTCACCTTAGCTAATCCTAAGGGAAACTTGGATATTTCAGTATTGGCATAGTTTTCTACTCTCAATATAAACTGCCTCCTAAGTGGTAGGTCCGGGGCCCATGAGG